CTTCAATGAGTATGGGCAGAACCAAAGATCAACCAATATAGGATGAGCATTTATGCAGCGGAAGTCTGATAACGAACTGACTCACATAGACTGACTCACATAGACTGACCTACATGGCATCACTCCACACACATACAATCATGAGATGGTGGGGTCTGGGTCATGCGGCAGGCCGCACCTCGGCCCTCCGGACTGAGCCTGAGTCTGGTACTTAAGACCGGACTCAAGCCCCGTTGGGGCATTCAGCCTCCGTGCTTGTGCTTCAGTGTGACTTGCCGCGCCTCTCTGTTCGGAATCCAAGATTGCAACTTTGCGACTTCGGGACTTTGCCACGTCGTGTCTGCGTCCGTCGTGTCGAGTCGAGTCCGTGTCTGAGTCGAGTGAGTGTGTGTGTGTGCTCTCACTCTCTCTCTCTCTTCTCTCTCTCCCTCCGCCTCGCCACTCTGTCTCTGCCTTGTCATAGAACTCCATTTGGGATGGCGTCCGAGGCAGGCCCATTGACTCTCTGAACCCTAATCAAGTTCAAAGGCTTCCTCCACTGACTAAGAAATTCGTTGTGCAGTATGAGAAGGACTTAGGAAAAGTAATGGAAAATATCAGAAAGGCACAGCATCAGATGATTGGACAGGCGAATAAGCACCATGGACCTTCACAGTTTGCTGTAGGAGATTTGGTCTGGGTGAAGTCCAAGGAGTTTATTCCAGAAGAGAACATCTCGCAGAAACTATTGCCTACGTATAGGGGACCGTTGCAGATTCTTGACGTGATCGGCGATGTGGATGGTCCTTCCTACGTCGTTGAAATCCTTCGCACTTACACACTTACCCGGTGTTTCATGCCTCTAGGTTACTCCCTTGTTTCAGCAATGATCTATTTCCGTCTCAAAGATCTATGATTCCTCCTGATATGGATGGCAAGTATGACGTAGACAGCATCGTTGCAGAGGATGTTTATAGATCCGGATGCAGGGGTTGGGCCCAGCGACAGTATAAAGTCAGGTTTGCTTATATGGATCGCTAGTTTACTAGAGGTGAGCTAGTAGAAACAGCACCGTACATAGTGTCTTATTATGAGAGAGCTAGAAGGGGAATTAACAAAATTGACAGATAAAGTTTGTAACTTTCTTGGAGGACCTCGAAATCAGGCCGGCGAGAGTAAAAGGCATTTTACGCTAAAGACCCCAAAGTCCCCAAGTCAAAAGAGGCCAAGTCGGCCAGATTCGGAAAGGTCAAGTCAGGGACCCCATAGGTCTAGTCCAACCGGTACGCAGTCAAAAGTCACATCCCACAGGCAAAGGTCACGTCCCACAGGCAACAGTCACGTCCCACAGTCCAAAAAGCAGCAGCACACCAAGGAAAACTCTGGAAGGTACCGGGCCTCAACATTCCAAAAGCAAACAGCCCGCGGGCAGCCGGTACCGGGTCCAAGTCAAGCCAAGAAAAGCAGATTCTGGGACGGCTCAAGCCCAGCCGAAGTCAATATAGGGACTGGCCAGCCACATTTCGGTCAGATGGCTCATCGATTCTTGCAGTTGCAGTTGGTGCATCAAGTAGACTGGTGCAGACAGACGTCACAAGGAAGTTGGTCCCACATGCATGGCGACCGCAATTGTATATCCACTGTAACCCACAGCCATTGAAGCCCTTGTCTTGAAATAGGATATGCCATGTGAGGATGTCGTACAATGTTGATGAGTATTGAAGATTGCCGAAAAGAGAATGGTCACACACCGGTGGCTATTTCTGTGACCAAATGCTGAACAGTGGTTATTTTTGGAAATATTCCCCACCTCTGAAAAGTGAACAGTGGCTACTCTTGTCACCAAATCGTGAACAGTTACAAAAAAGTGACCATTTCTGTCCCGTGGATAGTGAACAGTGGTCTTCCTACGACTGAATAATAAACAGTGGATTCTCCAGGTGCTGAATAGAGCCCATTGAATGAACCAACAGTCCCTGCTCCTGTGTTCAACTGTGCAAAGAGGAAGTAGAGACCTACTGTAGTCGCAAACTACAAATGATGGTAAGTCCCACTTTCCAGACTGCAAGACCTCCTGGGCATTGCAGCTATGGCATTGAACTGCCGGACTTTTGCTCAATTTATTCAAAAACATGAGGCAACCGTCAGGTTGCGGTTAGCGTCTCTAAATTCTCAATGTCGACCTGCCATTCGTATTGTTCCAAGTCTGTTCCCAGTCAGAAGTTGGGACTTCTAACGAGTTTTAGACTTGTAGTCCTAAACTCTGAGCATTGCATTCCTCCGATCCCTCACCTGAGAACATCGTATTTCATCCTGACCTTTGAACAGCAAATTCTTAGCTTCTGAACTTGGGAATTCTGTTGAGTTCGTAACTTCGTAGAGTTATCTATTACAGCTAAGGAAACCAATTGATCGAAAACAAAAAAACAGACCCACAAGGCAAACACTTTCGACCACTTCAAACAGCCAAATGAAAACCTTGCAATGCTTGCATTCATACTATCATGTAGATTCATTGTAGACTGATAATGTCATATACTCGCTCTTTTCATTTGTCTTTCTAATTCCCCTTCTCTCTCTCTCTCTCTCTCTCTCTCTCTCTCTCTCTCTCTCTCTCTCTCTCTCTCTCTCTCTCTCTCTCTCTCTCTCTCTCTCTCTCATTTGTAGACTCGAGGATTGCCCAGTTATTCCCCACCAAAAGAAGGCACGAAATTGACTGTTGCCTTGCACAGCTACCATGCACAAGAGAGCACATTCACATTGAGATGATGACAACAGAGCTGCAAGGAGAAGCAAGTCCATGAAGACTGTTGGTTGAGCAGTTCCAACCGCAACAAGCAGCAGCACAGAGAATGCAGTGCAGCATCTGTCATTACCTCAAAAATCAAGTAGAGCAGCATGCAAATCATTCTGCATGCTTCATGGAGAACCCTCCTTTCAGTGAGCGAGCTTGACGTTAACGAGAAAACATGCCATAGGCCCATAGGCAAGTTTAGCAGAAGGAATTGGATCAAGTAAGGAACACCATGCAAAAAAAGAGCAAGGCTCCTTACAGACAGAGACCCCTGCCCCATCTACACCACCCACCACAATCTCACAACCTAGTTGAAAGAACTGGTACAAGCGGAGGAACCCCTGCAGCATCAACTATGCCTGCCTCATTGAGCTTGCAAGCACCTGACATCATTCTGAGACCAAACTTCACCAAAGTTACGAAAAAGCCCATAGACATTTAATTTACTCTTGACAACAAACACCATCTTTTCAACTAAGCAACCAAAGCATTGACCAGGCGTTCTTCAAACGAAAGATAAGTTGTCTTCTAGGGGTGGATCCTATAGATGGAGTGACCCACCACCTCTATGAGCACCGACTTACCAAGCCTTAGGCAGGTACCAAGCGACAGATAAATGATTTTAATAGTGCAAATAGCATGGATCACCACATGGATGCTTTTGAGATCCTCCAAAGTCCTCATCACCTACTGCTGCTGGAGCACCCACCTTGAAACAAGCACCCAAAGGAGAATGAATAAGTCAGACACGAATGGCAATGCTGTGTACAGCATGGATCGTGCCATGCACATTTCTGAGAATCATCAGAAGTCCTCATCTCCTACCGCCGTGCGAGTGATGGGAACAGCCCAGCGTCCAAGATGAGCTGTATAGTTCAAGCATCTCACAATTCCCTCTGCAGTTGGACCGTCTGGGAAGTCAATGACACTCACACTTCCCGTGTCTAGGTGGAACAAACTCAATGCCGTTGGGGAGAGCTTCAGGCATCGAGCAATCATACCCAAGTGCACAGTTTCATGTCCTACGACCACCAAGGTTTTGGGACCGACTTCTGTCACGTCATTAGCACTGCTCGAGCTCGCCTCTCCCAGATGGTGCAACACCCCCTGCCAAGCATCCCAGACTCGGTTCCATAGATCAGTGATTGGCTCACCATTGTGCGGCATCCCATCTTCTAGGAGCCTCTCCTGCCAAGGTTCTCCCTCTGCTCCATGCTCTGACACCAGTGCACCTTTCCATCCTCCCATATCCATGTCCCGAAGGTTGTCCAGCTTCACGATCTCAATGTCGCGTGGGACACAATCCACACCCAGGCAATCTGCGCCCTCTTGGATCTCAGCAATAGCCTGAGCGGTCTGGACAGCCCTCGCCAACGGGCTGCATATGATTTTATCCACCCTGCAATCTAACAATAACTCTGCCGTCTTTCGTGCCTGAACAACTCCTAACATATTCATTGGTTCTTCATCTGATGCCGGGAATCGACTCCTCGAGCTGCTATCAGTGGCCCCATTGCAGACAAGCAGCAGTCGGTGGCCTGAGTTCCGGCCTCCGGACTGTCGAACAGCAATAGGAGGACTGGGTGTCTGATTCAGCCGGTCCAGACATACGTAAGGAGGGCCAGAGAAGACTGGTTCATCAGAAGAAGAATTTATATTATCTCTGCTCTTGAAGTCCAAAACGCTAACACCGCAGTTGCTCTGCAGAAGCTGCCGGAAGTACTCTGGTCCTAGTCCCATAGCAGTTGCAATCAATGCCTGATTCACTGCGTTATGGGCCACTACAAGAATGGAACGATATTCACTGAGCAAAATAGTATCCCAGCACTGGCGAGCACGATCCCATAATTCTCGCACCGGAAAGTGGTCGTCGATCACAAAGTTTTTAGCATCTCTTTGCCACATTCGGTACGCGTCGCCAAATCGGTCTTTGCCCTCCTGCTTGTACAATCCCTCGAATGCATAAAGGTCGATTTCTCGAAGGTCATGGATGGGGTATGCAGGGGCATCGCGCTCTCCCCAAATGATCTCAGCCGTCTCCTTGGCTCGTGCAAGCGGGCTGAAAAAGCAAGCATCGAATGCTGCATCAGAAAGCATTTGCCTGCTAGTTGCAGCCTGTATTTTCCCCTTGTCTGTTAAGACTGAGAAGTTGGAACTGCCCTGTATACGTCCAGCATGGTTCCACGTGCTCTGCCCGTGCCGGACAAGAACCACACGCTTCGCCTCCTTGATAGGAGGCAATGCTCGCCTCCACAGAATTGCTGAGTCCACTACTCTCTTTTCGCCTTGTTCAGCTTCAGCAATGCTTGTGTCCAAAGGTTTCCCAACCAGGGTTTGTGATGAGGCCATGGCCGCCCCCCGATGACCCTGACGTCTGGATGGAGAAGCCTCAGCCAACACCTTTAGACGTTGGTTCTTGCAACGCGAAGTGCAGCTCCGACAGCTCGCGGTGTGGCAATCTGCCAGAAGTGCAGGGGCACAGCCTTTCACAAACCTCTCGATAGCTAGACACAGTTCCTTACGGACCGTTTTGGGGGGTGACTGAACACCAAAGCTGGTACAGAGCCCCGACCCGCAGGACAGTCGCATCAAAGACTGTCCACACAATGGTAGGAACCACAGCTGAGGGTTTTCTACCAATCGTAGCCTTGGATGGTGTTTCTCCTTGGAGAAAACCAACGGCACATGATCTGCCACTCCCAGTAGGCACCTGCTGGATGCAGCGGCCATCTGGGATCTCTAAGGGGCGGCTTTAACAAATGAACAACAGCCAGCCTTTTTAAATGATGGTCCGTTGATGACTTGTTGATCAGTTGATTACGTGTGATGATGTATCATCGAAGAAAGCAAGGCGTACACACACATTACAATGAAGGCACAAGCCTTCTTTCAAGATTCATTTGTAGTCCTGCTTTACAGCCACCCAAATGACAAGCAATGGGTGCATGCAAGTCAGTTTGTGGAATTGAGTGGTATTTGTAATGTTAACCTGTGGATTCAAAATCTCTGGGAGTGTAGTACTATGTACCATTTGCCACCAGGGAGGAACAGCATACGCCGTTTCGTGATACCAGAATTGCTACATTGCTAGATTTCTGGGTGTGTAGTACTGTGTACCATTCGCCACCAGGGAAGAAAAGCATGTGCCGTTTTGTGACACCAGAATTGCTACATTGCTAGATTTCCTTTTTTTTCAAAAACAAGGGGGTAGCCCCTGACATTATCGTATCGATCTGATTATCGAGATTTGATCTCATGGTCTATGTATCAAGAGTTACAAATGTGCATCTTTCATCCACATGTGCAGACATCGTCAGATTTCTTGGTTTGCTACATTGCTAGATTTGTGTTCAATGTCTGTTGGTCCGTAGGGCTTCAATCGCTCCCTCAATATCTTGCTTACAGTGAAAGGTGGGTTCGTGCAGATTTATGCAGAATCCTCAGATCCTTTTTTGTTACTGACACAAATAAGCAGCGGTGTGGGAGATTCTGCCATGAGCCACGATTCCATTCGAAATAGCTCCTTTCATGGACACCAATGCGGTTGCGAGGAGGTCCTGGCATGTACCACAGGACATCCTAGTGCCGTTGGACGTAGGTTTGGTTATGGACCAGTGTGTTATGCAAGGTTTTGCCATGGACATAACAATACTGTGGGAGTCACTGGAAGATCCTGCTGTGTGCCGCAGATGAAAAGGTCCTGCCATGTACAACGTGATGCTGTCCTGTGTCCACGATTTTCTCCCAAACCTGCAATGGGCACTAAGAACAGAGAGGTATCAGAGGAGTTTCGCAAGGGTAGCTCCTGACAGTGCTGACACCATGGAACTCGGGGCACACAGAGAGAGAGAGAGAGAGAGAGGGAGAGAGAGAGAGAGAGAGAGAGAGAGAGAGAGAGAGAGAGAGAGAGAGAGAGAGAGA